TCTTTGAATATATTATTTTTATTTTGTTATTGAAATTTATTTCTTATTTCACTACGTCACAATATCATGTATTACAAAAAATAAACATTCTCACAAAAGCAGTCCTTACGAATACTACAATATAAAATAGTGTAGAATATTTGTAAATTTGTTACTTTAGAAACATTGTAGAAAAGTAAAATATGGTCCTATTTGGTAATTGTATTTCAAAATATTGGATCCCTTGTTGAAAAAGCGTCCTTCAATGTTCCTGAAAATGCGACATCTTGAACTCATTTTTACATAAAACTTTCGAGTTTTTGTGAAACTTCTTAGGAAATACTTTGAAGCACTTGTGTTCACAACCGCAATGTTGTTTAAAAAGACCATAATTTTGCGTCACACACGCCCGTAATATAAATTTTCAAAAATCATTAAAATAACTTTTACAAAAGGAAATTCAGTACTTATTTCATCATCATTCAGTATTTATTTCATCAAAATTACGCAAAAAATATTCATGTCTTAAAACAAAAGTTTACAAGGCCTAATTTAAATATCTAATTTTCGAAAACAAGATTTGATTAGAATACATGTTACCTCGAGTACTGTTGTCGTAGAAGGAATGACTATGTTTTAAACTTAATAATTTTCGAAAATTCAGGTAGTTCAAGAAAAATCAAACTTGGGTGATTTTACTCGAACAGTTTGTCGTATCGTGAGAAAAAACTAAAAACTTTGAAGCCAATTTTTAGAATATTTGGAAAATGTTGTTGAAGTTTCATGTAAAGTGTTCCCTAAATTAAAATAAAACTGACTGACAAAACTATTTCTTACATTAGGCATTACACAGGCATTACAAGAAAGACAGTGAAAATGTGCAGAATACAAACGCAATGATCGCAAGGAATGATCGAAATGTAACGTAGGGTTCCATGTAAACTGATCTCCCTAGTGGCTTGCTGGAAAATAAACGTCACAGTGAAATGTTTGGTTGATTTCACAAACACACACGCACATAAAACGTTGTCAGATCCAGAGACGATTGACGCACATTTCTTAATGTATTTTGACGCGCTGAATCGATATCTGAAGCCAAAATTGCGCCACCGCTTTCCAATTTTTTCAATCGCAAAAAAACATCGTGAAATTTAATTTTTGTGTTTTAGGGGGTTGCCGTTAGGCACAAAGACTTGACACATGTTTTTTGATGTATGTTAACGCACTAAATCCTAATAAGAAGCCAGAATTCTGCCTCTATTGTCTATTTTTTCAAGTCACGAAAAAACACCATGAAATCATAAATTGTAAATTTGGCGGTGTTTTTTATTTTTCGATTTAAGAAAACTGTTGGGTGTCGGTGCAATTCTGGCTTCAGTTTTGTAACTTATGAGGGATAATAATAATATTTAATTAGCAAGAATTTGATATTTTCAACGGCTATAAAACGAAAGGAATGCTTCGTTTGCAAAAGCGAACCTAAAACTGCCGTCCTAAAATCCTCTTTTCCCTAAAAAATTTTGTCCTTCTTTATCAGAGTAGTCAAAGCACCAAGGGGCGCCAAAATTAAGTCATTTAATCTCATGCAAAAGAATTGAGGTCTGCTAGTAGTCCAACGCACACCCCCTCCCACTCTCCCTCCCGCTTCGCCATTCATAACTCTCCTTTTATCCTCGTGGCTTGGGACAGATTTATAATGTTGCACGCCAAGCCCGCCCTAGCGTGTCGTTTAAAATACGACCTTGAAATAAAGTTACCTTTTACTACATATTTACTGATAAGATTAACTACCCCTAAATACCCGGTGCTGTGTTGGTTGGTCAAGTTTTACTGCTGAAGAAATTTTTGCGGAGGACCACAGTTGGCGTAATCTTGAATATAAATAGACACAAAAATTTTAATAAGCTCGATGATATTTCTCTGTGTGAAAAAAAAACATTGAAATGTAAAAGTAAAATATAGAAAGTGACGAATACATAAGAGTGAACTGTTTATAGGAACAAAAAATGTATCCCGGATGAAAAACAAAATGAAAATGACATGCAGTATGGTAAAAATATATTGTGTGCAAATAGACAATCACATTGTGTGATAAACTATACAACTAAAATTATTTTATATTCATCTTTGGAAAAGAACACCATTCAATTGATTATATTTTGGCAAACTCTAAACTGTGAATGATGAAAAATAATTACTGTCCATGATTGTTGGGGTATGGGTGGGTGCCATTTTATATAATGATTTTTCAATTAGAACTTGAAATGTTATGTAAGCGAAATCGCATAATATGATCATTACATTGTAGTGCTAAATGTAAAAGGACTGAAACATAATTTTGAAATTTACTGGCCCACCTTCTCATATGGGGTCCACAGGCATAATGAACTACAGATATAATTACCTAGTTATCTCAAACAAAATGCACACACAATCACCATAGTATGTGGATCTACTAGTATTACCAGAAATCATAGCGCAATCTGTCAGTGATTTTACAGACCCCATTAGACAAGTTGAGGGTAAAGGCGAGTCAAA